CGGTGCGGCGGCGGCGCGGGTCAGGCCGGGTCCCGCCGGGCGGCGCGGGGCGGTGTGTGCAGAGCGCGGGGTCGGTCGGGTCCCGCCGTGCGCCCGCGCCGCTCCCGCACCTAAAATGGAAGTTGGTCCGGCGGGCGGGGCGGGGCGGGCGCGGGGCCGCCCCCGGCGTCAGCAGCCGCGACAAGGACGGGCGGGACCGGGGCGGGGCGGATGTCCCGGTGGGGTCTGTCCCGAGGACGGTGTGTTCCCCGCGTGCTCCATCCCAGTGGGATCTGCCCCAGCGGTGCATGTTCTCCAAACCGGGATCTACCCTCAGATGGGCTGCACCTCGGGGCCATGGCCCCGGGAGCAGAGCCGGGGAGCAGACCAGCTCCTCCTCACGGTCCGGGTCTGCCCCGGCATGGTGCAGCAAGGGGCTCTCCGGGACACCCCCGGAGTAGAGCCTCCTCCGGCCTGTCCCTCTGGAGCGGCGGGAAAACAGGTTACCCTGTCCAGGGTGGAACTTGCCCAGGAGCAAGATTCCATGGCAGGATGGGCTGCAGTACGTCCCTGGGAGTTTACCCCATTCCCTCTGGCTCTAGGGAGCAGGTGCTCATCCTCAGTGGTGGAGGGGCTCCCCTTCCCTGGGAGGCAAAGAAGTGACACCGGGCCAGCCCCATCGCGTGTTCCGGGCTGCTCACCTGGGAGAAGTCCAGGTCCCCCGAAGGTGACAGTTTTCTGCCTCGTCCCTGGTCAGGCACCGGGGAGAACCCTGCCTGCTCCTGACTGCCAAACTCTTAGTGAGATAATGATAGAGGAAAAGAGCTGGGGATGGTTTTGGGTGGGACAGGTGATTCCTGGCGCAAATACGCACTAGGAGGCAGGGAGGATGTGATAACAGCCTGCGGATGGAGGTGTGAAGGAAGTGATCCTGATCTCGATGGGGATTGCTGAAGGTGGTGCAGAAAGGTGTAATGAGGCGAAATTTGATGCATACAAAGGGCACATCTAGGGAGATGATCTAGGCGTGGGACCCCCAAACCCTCCCTGATGTTTGGTTTGTAAAACACACCATCCAACCAGCTGGCAACAGAGGGAGAGCTGGTCCACATCTCCCAGGGGGGAGAGGGTCTCTCCATTCCACAGCAGGCGAGTGAGACCTCTCTGCATCCCTTCATCCTTGCTGTCACCCAAAACGAGCGAGCTGGGTCCCCTCTCAGCCGTGTGCCTCGAGTGAGAACAGCTCCCAGATTAGAAATAATTCCCATCTGCCCTCCCTTCCTCTTGGCCCACACAAGGAGGAAGGTGGGTGCAACCCCTGAGTCTCAGGGACAAGGAAGGAGAAGAGGTGCTCTCAAAATTCCTTCTGGGAGGAAGAGTCCTCTCTCATCTGACACCTCCCAAGAGGCAGTTCTCCCTCCGGGAAAAGGCATCAGAAACACCTTGCTCCTCCATCCCAGCACCAATGACACATCCTTTGAGGCCTTTGCCCGGGCAGTCAGGGCAGCAGGGTCTCGGAGGTTCCTGCATGGACCCGGCACGGTCACACCCTCCCTCTGCCCTCTTCAAAGACTAAAGGTGCTCTTACAAACATGGCTCTGACGCTGGGGGAGTGCCTCCTGTCCCCAGGATGGAGCTGCACAGCGTTTACCCAGGCACTGGCCCTGCCCCAGCCCTGCCCTGACAGCTGGAACACCCGGCAGCGCATGCTTACTTTGGAAGGCAGGCTGGACCCTGATCCTCCAGCTTCAGCTCACTGTGCAGCAGATCACGCTCTTGTTTGACTGTAACTCCTGGGGCAGAGGAGCCTGTCCCACTGCGTTCTGGGAAGAAGAGAGATGTGTTCCTAGCATGGGAAAGTTTCCCCTCTTTTACAGTAATTGCTTGTAATAACATCTTGCACATCCCCTTTCATCCTACAGCTGATGCCTTTCCCAGATGAGACGCCCAGAAGTGCAGCTGCCACCGGAACAGAGCAAGACAATTTGTTTACAAGGCAGGCCCGTGCTCTCGGCGGCCGAGGGCAGGAGGAAGGGGAGGCTGCTGTCTCCGGGTCCACGCAGGCAGCTCAGGGGGATGGCCTGCATTGTTCCAGGTCAGGATAACACGGCCCTTCCGCAGCCCCTTTCCTATGGGAATCCCGACAGGTCGTTGTCCCTCCCTCACGAGGGGAAGTGCGGCACCAGGGGGGTGCAGCGACTCATGTCGGATGCCAGCGCTGAAGGGGGAGAAGGAGGGAAGCGGGGCCTGAAGGAGCTTTGCAGCTCCAATTGGAAGATGCCAGGCCACAAAGCAAGCCCAGAGCCCACCCTGACACCTTCCCAGTGCAGCTCCATGTGCTTGGTGTTGTCCCTGCTTCCCACCAGCCTCCCACCACGCTTGGGCTCTCCCATGCCCACAGACCATCCTGCTTTCAGCCTGGCTGCATCCTATCGTGCCCTCAGACTGTCAAATTCCTGGTACATCTTTTGTCCAAATGTACATGTGACTGAAGCATGCACAGAAATCTCCTTCCCTCCCAGCCCCACAATGCAGTCTCTCCTTCCTCTCCTTTCCCAGTGCCTTTCCCAGCCTCAGATTTTGCCTTCATCCATCCCTTTTGCCACTGCACAGGGTCCAAGGTCCCTCTGGAGAGCAGGGACTCAGAGGCAGGTCCTGCCCTGCAACACAGGCAAAGGCGACATAGCTGAAAATGATCCTGGCTATGAGAACTGAGACGGGGATTTCCTTTCCCTTACAAAAACTGGCTCAGAAACTGCTGATTTCAGGGCTTGTGAGACACTGGAAAGACGAGATTTGGCCTGTGAGGAGGCCTCTCCTCCTATCAATAGTAGCAGGAGCCTGAACAGCCAGCACAGTTTAGGCCTTGCCTTCCCTCTGCAGTGAATCCCACCAGGAGATAAGCCCTGCTGGACATTCCCAACCCTCTGAGTCACCCAGGGTTGTGCCAAGCCACGAGCCAATGGCCAAGGACACCAGCTGTGCTGCAGGTCTGCAGCCTCTGAGCACCTGAATGTGGACAGAAGGATTCATGGTCTGACACGTTTTGCAGTGACAACTGCAATCCCATACTTTTTTCCAGGAAAATCTGGTAGCAGCAATGGAGTTTAGAGAGAGGGGTCAATGTGACAAAAGGCTGCCAGTGATTTTTCCACTCTCTGTTGTTTAGCTTTGGATACTAGTAAAAATGACACCATAAAAGGCCTCTTTTGTGTACCTACAGTGGGAGCGGTTGCTCGCTTGCCAGTTCGAGTATCAGTAAATTTTAAGGGCAGACAAGGCCACTCGTTGGCGGGGGGGCAGCAGAGCTGCAGCTGTTGGGGTACAGTGGAGTGGGGGCTTTGCCTGACAGGGTTTAGTGCTGGAACATTAAAACCCCAGCACCCCAGCCCTGCTTGCTGGAATGTGGCTGCCCCCTGTCCCACTGTGGTCCCTGTCACAGGGCACGGCATGGCATCTGGATCCATGCACTCCCAGTGAGGTCAGGCTTTCCAGGCGACAGCTCCGATCATTGTAATTCCAAAGGACTGCAAGGGGTGGGGGAGGAAACATCTCTATTTTGCTTCTATTTTTATGAGCATATGATAGCACTTTGATATGAAATTACTTGTTTTGCTGCATCCCTTGGTATTCCGGGCTGGGCTCCAAGCCACCCGGGGGCAGTGACAGACTGCCAGTGACCTCAAAGGCCGCTGGCCCAGGCCTGGCACCAGCCACTTTCTTCCTTGGTTTGTGTCCATTTTGCAAAAACAGAAAAGAAAAACCACCCTCACATGTCCAACCAGATGAAAATCCCTCTGCAAGACCACATTTGAAGACTTTGTAGATTTAAACTCTATGGCGACATTCAGACTCCCGACCTTCGGCAGCTCCTGAAACTTCCACCCACTTGGGTTGTTTGTAGGAACAGCCACTGTCTCCAGGCGATGTGGATGGATTATAATCTTTGTTCATGCATGTGGAGTGACTGACGCAGATGTTTGTACAATGGGTGCTTTATAAAGTGACAGAATACTTTCAAACTAAGTGGGCAGCATTGCTTGCTTGAAGGATGGCTTCCAAAGCACCATCAATCCTCCCCTTCAGGAGTTTGGGGCACAAAAACACCGTTCCTTACACGCGAGGTCACGGTGGACTATGAAAATCCAAACCAAGGTGGATCACGGGGCTCTGAGCCCTTGAACCCAGAGCTGCTCCAGACGGCAGGCGCTACACACACCTTCCCCGTGAGCGACCTCGTGTTCACCAGTGCCACCACTGCAGTGCCCACAAGCAGCCCTGGCCCGGCTGTCGTGTCCGCGGCCCGATGAGGATGAGGGAGGGATGAGGGAGGGATGAGGGGCAGCCCCTGCTGCCCCACGGGCGGTGGCCGCTCCCAGGCTGCCCTCAGCGCGGCCGCCATCACACGGCGAAACACGAGCGGCGCCTCCAGCGCCTGGGCAGAGCAGGGGCACCGCGCCTGGGGGAGGGCTGCGGGAAGGCTCGGTCACAGCAGGCGGCTCTGCGCCGAGCACCGCTCCCGGTGCTCCCGGTGCCGCCCCAGCGCGCTCCCCGCCACCGCCGCCGCTCCGGCCGGGCCGTTCCCGCGCGCCGCCATTGGCTGCCGGGCTGCGACCGGCGGCGCGGCGGGAAAATGGGTGGGGCGAGGCCGCCGCGCCACGTGAGGCCTCGGGCGCGAGGCGAGGGCGCGCAGGGCCCCGATCCCGGTCACCGCCCCCCGCGTCCGCGCCACGAGCTCGGGACTCACCCTCGGGGCGATCCGGCGGCGGCCCGCGCCCCCCTCGGCAGGTACGCGGCGGGCGCGGGGCGGGCGGCGGGGCCGGGCCTGGAGCGCCTCAGGCTGCGAAGGCCTCACGGCGCCCGCTGTGGCGCCCCCTGGCGGACGCGCGGAGGCCGGGGCGGCGGGGCCGGAGGACACCGGGACAGCGCGGGGACAGCGAGGGCTGTCCCGCGGCGCTGCCGGGACGGGCATGGGCACACGGGGCTCTGCAGACATCGCCACATCCCAGCCCCAAACCATTGGGACAGCCCGAAGAGGGCAGGCAGGCGCTGTGCCCCGAGTCCCCAGCAGGACGCTGTGTGTCCCTGCAGGACGGCCATGGCTTCTCCCACAGCCAGCCCGCAGCTGCTGTACCGCAGCACCCGCCTGCTGCGCACGGCCTTCCAGCACCTCCACCAGCAGCAGCAGCGAGCCGACGTCTTCTGCGATGTGGTCCTGTGGGCTGAAGGTGAGCGGGCAGCATCGCCGAGGGAGGGGCCGGCGCGTCTGGGGAGCTGCGGGCAGGGTCTCTGCACCCCCCTAGGACAGAGTGGCGTGAGCAGGAGGGGCTGCAGGGCAGTAACAGCCACCGTTGCTTTGCAGGCGAGGCAGTGGTGGCCCACTGCAGTGTTCTCTCCGTCTGCAGCCCCTTCTTCATGGAGCAGCTGGGCCGGGAGCTGCCCCCCCAGGGTTGCAGGGTGGTGCTGGAGCTGGCGGGGCTGAAGATTGGGGTGCTGCGCAAGCTGGTGCGCTTCTTCTACACTGCCGAGCTGGAGGTCACGCAGGAGGAGGTGCACGAGGTGCTGGCAGCCGCCCGCCGCCTCCGTGTCACCGAGCTCGAGTCACTGCAGCTCTGGGGAGGACGCCTGGTGAGACTGGGACCCCAGCGGCAGCTTGACCGCTCCTGCCTGCATTCCACTCAGGAAGTCTCCCCCGTGGTGGCACCTGACACAGCTGAGCCTAGCAGTGCCAGCTCTGGGGTGTCCCCCCAAAGGCAGCCACACTCTCTGGGGCACACGCACCCCAGCCCCATCGGGCGGATGAGGCTGCGGAAGGTGGAGCGCTGGGGGTGCTGGGAGGTGGTGCGGGATGTGCAGCCCCCCCCTGTCCCTTCACCAGTACCGGTGGGGGATGTGGGGGTGACAAAAGCACAGCCCCCCCAGGATGAGGATGCACGGGAGCAGGTGAGCAAGTCCTCCCCGCCCCAGCAGCCCCCCAGTGCAAACGGGATGCAGCAGCGTGGGGACTCCCCTGTGTCCCTGCAGGGCTGCCAGCAGGCAGCACCCCCAGGGACCCCGGGAAGTGACACCAAGGAAGAGGAGGTGGATGTGGGGACAGGGGAGCTGTTCCTGCCCCCTGGCACAGTCTGCCTCTGGCCCAGTCCTTCATCTGAGTCAGAAGAGGAGGTGGATGTCCTCACCTAGGGGGGGCTGGCTCTGCCTCTCCCCCCACCAGTGCCCACACCCCTTGGGCTGCGTGTCCTTGGAATAAAGGGCTGGAGCTGTGCTGTGGAGTACTGAACTTTATTGGAGATTGGGGGAACAACGGGGTGTGCAGGGAGCCAGGGGTCTGGCAGTGGCAGAGCTGCAGCATCAGGGACGGGACTGGGGCTGGCGGGTGCCCCCCACTTGGTCTCGCCTCTTCATGGATGCTCATGCCACCTGCACCGGTCCTGGCTCGGCTGTGGAGAGAGGGAAGTCAGTCCCGTCCCATCCCATCCCGTCCCGTCCCGTCCCATCCCATGCCATCGCCGCTCACCTGGCCAACGCCTCTATGCCAAACTGCTCTTCAGGGCTTCCACCACGGTCTCTGGCTGGGGAAACTTCAGCTTGCGGGGGGGCCCCTTCCCGATACCGCTCCACAGCTCCACGGCTGTGGAGATAAGGGCGATTATGGCATCAGGGGTGCCGGGGAGCCCCCGCCGCCCCCCAGCCCAGCACTTACTGCTGCCGTCCTCCTTCACCAGAGACACCTCGAAGCTGTTCCTGCGCGGCGGCCGCGGGTTGATGTCCACGGGGAGGTGGGCCATGGCCCCGCGCAGGGCCGCGCTCACCGCCGCCGCGTTGCGCCCGAACACGCGTCAGCTCTTGCTGCGGGGACACGGCGGTCAGCGACCCGGGGGGCACCCAGGGGGCTCGCACCACCCTCGGCACCTCGGCTGCTCACCAGTGCTCGATGACCACACGGGGGCCGATGTCCCCGGGGCCGCCCTCATCTTTGGTCTGGGCCCGCGCCCGCTTCTGCGGGGCTCCCGCTGTCTCCGGTGCCTCGGCCGCCGCCGGCTGCTGGGCTCCGCGCTTCCTCCCGCGGGGAGCCATCCTGGGAGAGCCGAGGCGGTGGAGCCTACACCGGAGCAGGAAGGGGGCTCCAGGAATGCCGCTCTGGGGTGAGAAGGGGTCTCAGGTACCCTGCTGTGAAAGGTGGGTCCATATGGGGACGCTGCTGTGGGAGAGGGCCAGGAAGGGCCAGTCCCCGGCGCTGCGCCATGGGGGGAAGCGAGGGACCCGCGGGGATCCTGCAGTGGAGGGCGGGAAGCGGCTCCGCAGGGATCCCGGCGCGGTGTGCGGCTGGGGAGAGCAGGGAAGCGGGGCCCTGGGGAAGGGAGGGGACAGAGCGGGCCCTGCAGCGGCCGCGCCGCCTCCTACCTGCCGCTGGCCACGTGCCGGGAGCGCGCGCCGCCGGGGCAGCGGGGCCGGAAGGGGCGGGGCCGGGAAGGGCCCGGGAGCCCCCGGTGGGCTCCGGTTCCGCCCGCGCCGCCCCAGCCAATCAGAGCGCGCGCTCCGCACGGGCACCGCCCCCATACGCGGCTCGGGATCGGGATCGGGAACACGGACACGGAGACGGGACACAGGCACGGCACGGACCGTTTATTGTCAGCGATGGATGAGAGCGAGCGTTAACCGAGGCGGGGCCCCTCCTACCGCCCTGCCCGCACGGGGCCGGGGGGCACCGCTGCTTTCCCGGGGCTCAGCCGGGACAAGTCCCTACGGAGAGGGGCTCCGAGCAGGGCTGGGCAGGCCCGCGGGGCCGCTGCCACCAGGCGGATGGTGACATAGTGATGGGCGACAGTACAGGGCAGCTTCTACTTGTCCTTCTTGGTCTCCTGAGGCGCAGCCGCCGGCACGGCTGGGGGCTCCTCAGGCCCCTCCTCCCGCGGCTTCGACTGCTTCTTGGCCTTCTGGTAGAGCTCGTTGAGGTTGAACTCCCGGATCACATTCTCCTGTGGCCAAGAGGTAGCATCAGCACCTCGTGCTCCCCGCTTCTTCCCAGGCACAGGCTGGGCAGGGGAACAGAGGGCTGGAGGGTCCCACGCACCTCAGAGAAGGTCCAGGACACAGCCCGGCCCTTCTTGTCGATCTGCGGTCGCCGCATGATCTCTGTCCCACCCTGGAAGAGGATGAGGGTGGGCAGCTGCTTGGTGAGAGGCGAGGTGCTGACCTTGTACCTGTGTGAGGACGAGCCAACAGTGACCCTCGGGCGGCCTGAGGGTCACAGGGACTGCCCCAGAGTGAGCCCTGCTTGCCCAGGCTGCGTTCCCCACACCTGGTGCTGACGTCCGTGTACCGGCCAACATCCACCTTCCCAAACTGGAGTCCTGAGCAGTTGTACCTGGGCAGGATGGGGACACGAGGCTGTGAGGGATGCAGGGGACCACAGGCCCCCTTACCCACCAAGATTCCAGTGGGTGCCACTCACTTGAGAGAGAGGTCGGCGAAGATGGGGGCAAAGGACTGGCACTCACTGGACCAGTTGGCAAAGAACTCAACAATCCATGTCACCCGCTTGTCCCTCTCCAGCTCCTCCTGCCACAGGGCATGGGCTTAGAGGGGGGTGGGCAGAGCCCCCCAGAAGCCCCAGGGCTGGGGAGATACTCACATCGATGGTCTTGTCACTGAAGTACTTGATGTATTCAGGGCCCATGTAAAGGGGTGGCTTGCAGGTCATCAGGAACACTGGAATGACAGCACCCTGAGCCCCCCAGTGCCACGAGGGCCTGGGACAGAGCTCCTCCACCCCAGAGCAGCGAGGGGGAGCCAGGACAAGGCGGATCTAGGGCAGGAAGACGTGCAGGCTCACCTATGCAGAGCGTGAGGTAGAGCAGCCCCATGCGGATGTCGAGGCGGAAGAACAGGATGGCGTTGGCCACTTTGCTGAACATGAAGATATTCCCGATGTGCTGCTCCACGGTGACTGTGATGTGGAGACAGGAATAAGGGATGGGGCCAGATGCCCCCAGAAGGCTGGGGATAACTTCAGGGAGGGCTGGATGTGGTCCTCCAGACACCACCCCACTCAGCTCCTTGGAGGAGACCCCATAAGCAGCCCCAGCCCCCCAAGTCCCCCTGACTCACTGGAGCGCCGGTTCTTCATCATTACAATGGCGCTGAGGAACATGAGGATCTCCACCTCCCTCTGGCACAGAAAAGGGACAGCATGAGCTGGAAGTGCCCAGGACACCTTGGAGCCAGAGGGGCCTGTGGCCATGCCAGGCCCTAAGGCCCGGCCAGAGCCCAGAGCCCCCATCCCTGCCGGGGGAGAACAGCGAGCACAGGGGCCGCCCTGGGGCCATGGGCTCGACCAGAGCCTGGGGGGACCTTTGGGCTGTAGGGCGACACCGCAGAGCAACGCCAGGGGCTACCGGGCATCTCCTCCCTCAGCCAGGCCGGGGTGCTGTGACAGCAGGAGGGGAGCCAAGCCAGGGCCGGGGGTGTGGGGACAGGCCCGGGGACAGCCCAGGGATGCGGGGAGAGGCCCGGGGACAGGCCGCGCCACCTCACCCAGTCAAAGTCACACGGGTTGCCATCCTCCCGCTGCGAGGGCAGCCCACGGCAGAGCGGCGGGACCTTGCGCACGAGCAGGAAAGCGGCGGCGAGCAGCGCGGAGAGCGGGTAGTAGGGCTGGGCGAGCCATCGGCAGAGCCCGGGCAGCCCCCACAGCAGCGCCAGGAGCGGCGCCACCACCGCCATCTTCCCTCCGCCCCGCTCACTGCCGGGGGGCGGGGCCAACCCGCGCCGGCCAATGGCGAGCGGCGAGGCGGGCGTTCCCGTGGCCGCGCGGGCCAATGAGAGGAGAGAGAAAAGCGGCCAATCAGAAGGCTGGGACGAGTCTCCCATAGCAACGGGAGGCAGGACGGTGTAGGGGCGGTGCTCGGCCAATGGCGGGGCGGGGCGGCCCCGCGCGGGGCACGCCGGGAATATGGAGAACTTCTCGGCGCTGTTCGGCGCGGCGGAGCCGCCGCCCGCCGCCGCCGCCGCGCTCGGCCTCGGCCGCCGCGCCGCCACCGGGCGAGGACGCGGCCCGCAAGGCCGCCGCCGGCCCCTTCTACCTGCTGCGGGAGCTCCCAGGTGCGGGCGGGCCGCGGGGCGGGGCGGGTGCCGCGCTCGGCCAATCAGCGCGGCGGAACGCGGTCGCGAGGGGAACTGACGGCGCCAGGAGCCAATGAGGCTGCGGGGGCGGGGTCTCGCAACGCGCGGTCCGGTGGGGAAGTGGGCGGCGGGGGGGTCCCCGGGGCCGGGATCCCGGTGCTCGGGGGGTGCAGGGGGTCCCGGAGCCTAGGCTCGTCCGGGGAGAGGGGTCTGCGGCGTCTTCGGGGCGTTTCGCCCTCCCCAACTCCTCCCGCGGCCGCACAGGCACTACGGAGCTGACGGGCAGCACCAACCTGATCACACACTATAACCTGGAGCACGCCTACAACAAGTTCTGCGGGAAGAAGGTGAAGGAGAAGCTCAGCAACTTCCTCCCCGACCTGCCCGGCATGATCGACCTGCCCGGCTCCCACGACAGCAGCAGCCTGCGCTCGCTCATCGAGAAGCCGCCCATCTGCGGCAGCTCCTTCACCCCGCTCACGGGTGCCATGCTGACCGGATTCCGCCTGCACGCCGGCCCGGTGAGCCCCGGGGCCTGGAGCCGGGGGGGTGGGAGGTGCCCGGCGTGGCCTGACCAGCCCCTTTTCTCCACAGCTGCCTGAGCAGTGCCGGCTGATGCACATCCAGCCGCCTAAGAAGAAGAACAAGCACAAGCACAAACAGAGCCGCACGCAGGACCCCGTCCCCCCAGGTAAGCGTGCCACAGCCGCCCCCCTGCTCCCCTTCAGCACCGGCAGAGCATCGGCTCAGCCGGCGCTTCTGCTTCTCCAGAAACCCCCTCGGACTCCGACCACAAGAAGAAAAAGAAGAAAAAAGAGGAGGATCCAGAGCGGAAGAGGAAGAAGAAAGAGAAGAAGAAAAAGAAGGTGAGTGGCAAGGCTGGGGTCCAGTGCCAGCCCGCGGACCCCTGAGGGGCTCTGTGAGTGGCCATCCCCACGGCACTGCTGCCCAGCAGCTCTCACAGGCTCTGTCTGTCCTTCCTCCACAGAACCGGCACAGCCCGGAGCACCCGGGGGTGGGCAGCTCCCAGGCCAGCAGCAGCTTACGGTGAGGCCACG